ATAGAGGCTCTTATGAGGATTAACAAAACAACAACAACAAAACCCACAAAAAAACCCCTTACTTTCAGGCTATTCAGTTTGTGATTGTATGTTTCTGTTCAATCATAGTAACATTTTTATTGTGATTTTAATTCTTAAATATGGAGAGTATCCTGGCACTTTTTTTTTTCACTAGTTGAATATGTTAAAACTTCTAATTAAAAGGTGTAGTAGAATAATAGAGATGTATTAGCTCTTTTTTTTTTTTACTTTGAGTTAAAATCTAGTGTGACCCATAAAACAAATATTAAAACATAAAGCAAATATGACTTTTGTACTCTTTCATAATGATGAGCAACCTAATGTCAGTTGAATTTGTACCAGTGTCTTGAGGAAAAAATGAATCAGTTCTCTTTTATGTCTCTTCAGCAAAAATAAGCAACTAAATTATTGTGTCACACAAGTTTGATCTGTTTTGTTTTCCAGGTGCAACAATCGAACACAGTGTATAGTAGTTACTGGGTCAGATGTATTTCCTGATCCATGTCCTGGAACATACAAATATCTTGAAGTCCAGTATGAATGTGTCCCTTACAGTAAGTATGAATTTGATATGTTTTACTTCTCCAGCATTCCTCGTTGATGCTGAAAGACTACACACGTGGAAGAAGCATATGTTTATGGCCTAAAAAAACATTATGCATGCAGAGCACTAACAGACTCGGGCCTCCAATTAGCTTCATGAAGTATGGAAGGAAGCCATCGTGTCATGCTGGCCAAGTGTCTGTCTGTGTTCTTAAGTGTTTGGCTTTTAAGGCTAGTGTTTTTTCCAGGAAACAAACTTGAATTAGCTATTCAATAGGGCAGATAGAAATCTGTACTTTTGCCCGATACCAGTTGCTGACAAATTGGCTTGGCTCACGGTTTTGTAAAGAAGGAATTGACTTTGGTTTTAATTGTGAGCTACTTGAATGGCTACCTGCTGTCGTGGTAACTTCAGTGCCTGTGAAAAGCTACCATTGCAGTAACTGAGGCCAGTGCTTCCCTTTTGGTTCCTTTGTCCTTAAGGGAGCATTTCTTGACCACATTCAGTGATGGAATCTTAACACTAAGCAACATAGATATGACAAAATTGTGCACATATTTCTATTTTTAATTTGGCCTAACATCCATTGATAGTGAGGTCCATAAAAGGATGTTTAAAATTCAATTGGAAATGCCCTAAGTAGGAGTCAGCTAATGTCTAATTCTGTACAGTTTTCCTCCAAACCTTAAAATTTATACTTCTAAATTGTATTCTATACTTTCCTTGTACATTGTGGACAACTAAAAAGTTTTAGTTTATTACCTAATTTTCATAAGCTAGTTTGTTTGAAAATGTTCTTGTATTCATTACTTTTTAACTTGAAAAAAAAATTTCATTTGCCTCATTTCATAAGAATTTGAATTAAAAGTTCATTAGCAACAATTTTATTCATTTGAGATAGTTTCGGTACACTTTCCTCCAGGAAAAAAAATCATCGGATTCCAATTAAATAATGAAATTACTTTTTCCAGAACCTCCTAAACTAGATCACTAGTCTGACAGATTCCTACATCCAAACCATCAGTATTTCTATAACCAAATGGCCAAATTCCAATAGATGTACTATGTCCAATACAATAGCAATGCTTTCTTACATTGTGTGAAGGCGCTGTCTCTCTCTTTTCTACCCACAGTTTTGATAAATTGGCTTTTTGTGGGGTATCAGTTAAAGGCCAAACACAGATGATCTTTTCTTTTCATTCC